GGCAAACGGAAATCCGAGGAGCCGTTCTGCTTTGCGGTCCCAGATCCCAAGCGATGGAAGCAGGACCCGGCGACCCGGCCGTCTGCCTTCAAGCCAGTGAGCAGAAACGGGGTGACGCCCGTCTTTGTGCCCAAACCCGGGCCGCTGATCATCGACCCGCAGCCTTGGAGAGTCCGGCCAGTTGGGCAGAAGCTCTGCCTGAGCCTGAGACGGAGACCCATCGTGATCCTAAACCTGAGACCGAGACCGAGCCTGAGGCCACCCTGCGACCATCCCATCTGCTTCCCCTGCTGGCCCACCTACAGCCGGTGGAGCACCACCGCCCGAGCCCCGGGAGCAACTGCCCCGCCATCCCCGGATCCTGGGCCTGCCAGCCACCCTCAAGAGCCCCAGAGCACCCCTGACTCCCCACCCCGATCCCCCAGCCTGGGGCCCCCCAGCCCGGAGCTATTGCAGCCCACAGGCCCCGACCAGCCCCTGGCAGCTCCCCCTGCTTTGCAGCCCGCCCCGATGCCCCTCTGTTGTTTTGCAACGTCTAGTTGCTCTCCTGGCCCTTGCCTATCCCCTGCCCACCCACTCCTGTCCTCTCCTCTCTTCTCCCAGTTTGCCTAGTTACAGGTCAATAACGAATAATTTATTGACAGTAAATAAACAGTAATATTGTCATGAATCAAGTGCATTGGTTGTTACTGAAGGAAAGAATGATTTTTGTGTGTGTGTGACAGTCTTACTATGTCACCCTTGGAAGAGTGCTATCACATCACAGCTCACATCAATTTCCAACTCTGGGCTTAAGCGATTCTCTTCCCTCAGCCTCCCAACTAGCTGGGACTACAGGCGCCCGCCACAACGCCTAGCAATTTGTTACAGTTGTCATTGTTGTTTAGCAGGCCCAGGCTGGGTTCGGACCTGTCTGCCTTGGTGAGCTACAGGCACTATAGCCATGTGGAAAGAATGATATTTATTCTCCTATTTACTTTAACCTTGAATACCATTGAGATTTTTAAATATGTTTGCAAAATGTCCTGGAATTTAAACCATTATAATAGGCAGCTTTATTATCCTAGAGATTGCCATATTCCTTCTTTCACGGGCTCCACTGTGGTTTTTTCAACTTGGCACCATTGACATTTTGGGCCAGATGGTTCTTTGTTGGCGGGGAGGGGCTGTGTCCCGTGCCTTGTGGGGGTTTAGCAGCATCCCTGGCCTCCAATGTCTAGGTGGCAGTAGCACACCCACAATTGTGGCAGTGAGAAAAATGGCTGTGGCGTTGAGAGAGGTCAGCAGTCACAATGGTGAGACTCACTGAGTAACAGCGCTCTCTACTGGCAGAAAAAGGCCTGGTCCCCCTGGGTTTTATAATAAAAGCACACGCCAAACATGTTGGGATGAACAAAGAGAAGTGGCTTGTGCTTGACCAATTTTGTATTGTAGAATGCTTTGGAGTATCAATAATTCCTGTTATGGCCTTACTAATAACCAGAAAATGCAAAATTATTGAAAATGGGCTACTCTTTTAAATTTTTCAAATTGACAAAAATTTAAAAGTTAAATTATACCAAGTGCTGGTAACAATGCATGAAATTGGAATCCCAAGGAATGTAATGGGAGCCCATGAGTCCAGCCACTGTAGTGTGACGTTTGGAAGGATTTGCTAGAACAGAATTTGTGGCTACTACAATCTCTTGCACATATACACAGGCTCTGGTAAGGATGTTCTTTGCAGCACTCATCATCATAGCAGAGAAATGGAACAACCTAAGTGTCTATCACTAGGGGAAAGGATAAAGTACTAATAAATATATTATATGCTAGCAAGGAAATACTGTTTCACAAAGAAAGGAAAGACGTAGCTCAGGATTTCTCAGCTTCAGCATGATCGGGCCAGATAATTCTATATTGTGGGATATCTTATGCATTGTAGGATATTTAGCAACAAACCTGGCCTCTATCCACTAGATATCAAGACCACCTCCAATTGTGACAGTCAGAAATGTCTCCAGGCATTGCCAAATATCTCCAAAAGGAAAAAATCACTCCCCTGGTGGAAACCACTGAACCTAGGGATACATATTTGTTAACAAATGAATAAATTTCAAAAATAAAACGAAGCAAAAAAGAGAGGAAGTGAAATATTACATGTAGCACATTCCTTTTACATAAATTAACCAAATAGTATTTCAGACATAATAGAGGAGATCAGAAACCAGGTAAGAGGTCATTTGGATACTTTGCCTGTATTGCCCTTTTGATCTAAAGCCTCCTTAAATGCTGTTCAGATAGGAATTTCATGGCATTCCCCATTA